GGGTGTGTGTGTGTGTGTGTGTGTGTGGATGGCGCGGTCGTCGCTCACGCTCTGCTACGGTTTCGCCTCTATGGCGAATCCTGGTTTCTCCTCCATTGCATTTCTCTTCGCCGTGTGTCGCTTTCGTCTTTGTCTTCATCCCGACGTGGCTGCTCATTCTTGTGGTCGTAGGTTTCGAGTTGCGTCGGGTCGGCTTCTGCGGCGTCTCGTGCTCGCAGAAGACCAAATCTAACGCGGCTGCTCGATCCCGACCAAACGCGGCGTCTCATGCTTTCTCTTTGTGTGTCTCTCTCTGAATGGGTTTCCCGCAGATTCCTTTCGGCGTTTGCTCTTTTCTTCACTGCACTTTCACCGTTTCTTACATCGCGCCTCCTTCTATTGGTGATGGCTTCAAACAGATCGTATGTTGTTGCCTTTGCGAGTGTCCACGCCTCAGGTACACCTAAATCGTGTTCTTTCCCTCCTTCGTTTGAGTGGGCGGAGTACATCAAGAAACCTGGTAGGAAGAATGAGAAGTCTGCCATCTTTTTTATAGAAGCCGAAGGTATTCAGCTTGTTTCCTCCCGTCGTCTGAATTTGATCGGAAAATTTATTGTATGGTCATCCCAAAATGGAGTATTCGTAAGGAATTTGAGCTTATGCACCTTGTTGGAGAGTGAAAAGTTGGACTCTTAGATGGAAGACACATTCTCATTCAAATTAACAATAAAGAGGATTACACGCGCTTATTTGTTAGAAGGATAATCTGGATTAATAATAGAGCAATGAAGATTCTGAAATGGTCTGTGGATTTTGACCCACAGACGGAACCACAAATCATTTCTGTTTGGATTTGTCTCCTTGGTCTGAAATTTCATTATTTTACTCAAAAAGTGATGTACTTCATTGCCTCAGGTTATGGTAAGCCACTCAAAACGAACATTCCTACTTTTAATCTTTCCCGTCCATCTGAAGCCATAGTACTTGTTAAAAGAGACATCACTTCTTCCACTTCTGAGGAAATTTGGTTGGGCACACAACACGGTGGATATTGACAAAAGATAGTAATTGAGTCTTTTCTTTCGTATTGTTCGAACTGTCGTATGTTCGGTCATTCCAGTTCTCAATGTCATCATACACACCCCCACCTCATACTAAAAAAGCAAAGTGCTCTGTCAGAGACAGTGAATCCATCCATCTCCTCCTGATCAGCTCCAAGTTATTGACAATATTGATCATCAAAAGAATACTCCTGAAGACGTCACTATCCTCGCAGGCAATATATCAACCATTTAGTCTCCACATAATGTTGTAGCTCTCCCGTCGTTGGAACCTCCTATCGTAGGGGCGAGGGAGGTTCTTCAGACTCCACCTGCCATAAAACCTATCACAGATATTACATATGGAAATACTTTTACTGCTTCACTATTGCCTCATCAGGTCCAGCAAGATGTTAATGTTACTCAGGCTCATGGGGATCATGATGTGCAACAACCTACACCTGTCTAGCCACCTTTGGACCAATACATTGATCAGATGATTCAATCCTCGGATGAGGAATGACAGATCTACACATCACACATCCCCAGGAGGAAGAAGAAGAATGGAGAGCTACTTGAGCTCAGGAATCTGATGGATGATATTTTGGTTACTTCGGGTAATGGTACGTACCTTACCAATTTGTTAGTCGGTTCCCTTCCGAGAACTAGAGGCAGAAGGAGGATTAAGTGGGACGTCCCTAGCATTTTTGCTCATGTTGGTGGCTTTTTATTTTTTTATTTTTATGTATCTTTGCTTTATTGAGATTTTGTGTGTATTGTATTATGTGAGTTGGGCCTTCTTTTAGACCCTCTCATACAACATATCTATACATTTTCCAATTTAATATATTTGCCCTTGGCTTTTTCTAATATATATATATATA